TTCATAGAGGTGGTCGACTTTTTGGGGGGTGTCGACTTTTTCCCCGGTTCATTGTACACAGCGAAGGTCATTCAAATGACCACGACCTCGAGGAGGAAGAGAGAATCTACCTCGAGACCGAGGATCACTGGCGTCTTTACCATACCGACCGCGCCTTCGACTTCCACGCAAACAAGAATGAGCGCTCCACGGCTCACTTCTTCCGCCGCCGCCCAAAGTCCTATACAAAACGCCGGTCAGAGCAGTGAAACAAAATGATGGGACGCTGTCAACAGACCCAGCGACCATTCAGCGCGAGTTTGTCAATCAATGGTCACGCGTCATGCGCGACAACACCACTCCGCCTAATCGTTCCATGCGACGCCGCTTCCTCCGAGTCCTACGCCGAAGACTGTCAGACGAAGATAGAGAGGCATTAGAGGCCGATGTCACCGGTACCGAGCTGGAGTCCAGCATCAAAACCATGGCGCCGCATCGCACTCCAGGCCCCGATGGGTTTCCGGCTTGCTATTTCATGTGGCACCTACGCTGTTTGGCGAAATATTGGCCATCGTGTTCAACTACCAATTGAGCCGCGGCATGTTGTTAAAATGACAGCGTACCAGCGAGGTTGTGCTACTGTTCAAGAAGAACGGCCGCGCCGACCCCGGCAACTACAGGCCGATTAGTTTGATGCAGGTGGAGGTGAAGATCCTTTGCCGTGCATTAGCTTACCGTCTCTCGTCGGTGCTGCCACAACTGGTTCTGCCGACCCAAAAAGGCTTCGTCCACGGCCGTCGCCTGCACGACCACACAGTATTCATGCTCGACCTACAACACACGTTCGGTTCGCGATCAGGAGGGGTATGCAGCCTTCCTAGACTTTGCCAAAGCGTACGATCGCGTGTCTTGGGCCTACATGTTCGACACGCTGGAGACGTTCGGCTTTGGACCTAAATTCATGTCGTGGGTCAGGCTGTTGTATACGAATCCTTTGGTTCACCTCCGCATCAACGGTCTCAAGTCGGAGCCGATCCACCCTAACCGTGGCGTCAAGCAGGGAGACCCCTTGTCGTCTCTGCTGTTCGTCTTGACACTGGAACCTCTGAACCAACTCCTACAAGACCATGAGGAGTATGGCATCGAGCTTACGCACGACCATACCGCAACAACCTTGATGTTTGCGGACGACACGACGTTGCTCACCTACAAGAGCTGGAGCTGGTCAACCAGTATTGTGCTGCGTCGGGGGCCAAACTAAACATCGACAAGACGGAAATCTTAGTGCTGAACTCCAACCAGCCCATACGGATTGTGCGGGGCCTGTCGTTTGCAGCTTCGGGCGATCGGATACGCTACCTTGGGATATTGCTGCCCCATACCACGAACACACGGAACCATGGAGGCCTTGCAAACGTACATTAAGCTGTTCCGTCGCACCATTGCCGTCGCAACACCGTTACAAGCTGACGTGTGGACTCGACTGCAATTCCGGGTACTGCCTGTTGGCTACTGCTTCAACCACATGCAGTTAGTCCACCCCAATTGCATGCAATGTCCCTACAGCAGCTGTCACGCCGTCGAAACTATTCACCATGCTCTGATGCCTGCCCCTGCGCCCACCCGGTTTGGGATATGATGGCGGCACCATGGCTAAAATTTGGATTACGATTCGATTGGACCTGCATTTTGGACATCACTAAAGTCATGCCTCTTCCAGCATGGTCCCACGCAGCACCGGAACTCTTACTGCTGTGGACGCTACTCACCGGAGGCATGTTGCGTCGCATTGGGATCCACCGGAACAAGGTCAAGTTGTTCGCAACTTCACGTACTGTCTACAGTGGAGCGCAGTCTCCTCGAATGGTCCACGCAAATTCGATGGCATCTTCAACTCCCAACGACTCTCGAAGACGAACGCGCTCGCATCCAGGCGATCCTGCGTCTGCTCGGTCAGCATCCCAACTACCGAGGATTCGGGTCAAAATATCCTCTGCACTTTTCCGCCAATCCCTTGACCGCGCAGCTACCATTCCGGTAATTTCACCTACTACCTCTGTCCAATTAAGAATGGTCGTTTAGCGGAAAGGACAGTTTTTTGTCGAAAAAATGTGAATTTGGAGAAAATAAGGGTTTCACGAGAATCAGTCGGGTGAGGCCTGTAATAATCAAACAGTATCTACACGGTTCACTCATTCAAAAAATAGGAATTCAACAATTTCCACTCAATACAATGACCAAGACTAAACATGCTTCGAATACCCCCTTTTATCCGGATAAAATCGATAAATACGGTTGTATCCGGTGCATCCTTGGCGCCAAGATTCGCCCGCGCTTTGAAGTCACCTGAAAGAGTTGGTGGGCAAACCCCTTCAGGTCACTTCATTCAGTCATTTCAATTTATGCGCAAGGGCCAACGGAAGAAGAACCTCACAGACAGTGAGTGTGCCAGCGTGGTTCAACATATCTTGACCCGATGCACCCCGAAGGGAAAAATCCCCAGGGGTGTCGCGACTGAGATTGGTCTGGTGTTTGGGGTCACTCCCACAACTGTTCGTCGGATCTGCCGTCGTGCTGCCGTTGATTTGTCAAGCAAGACGATATGCCAAAGCGTTGACCAGCGAAAGAAAGGAAACTGTGGTCGTAAACAGTTGTACCCCGATATGACTCAGCGCATACAATCCATACCGCAGTCGAGACGTTACTGTTTTCGCTCTTTGGCGCATGCACTCAACATACCCAAGTCAACTTTACACTGTTACTTCAAGCGCGGAGCTATTGCAAAGTACACGTCCGTCGTCAAACCAGCCCTTACCGAGTCCAATAAAGTTTGCCGATTGAAT